AAGGAGGGTGTTGTTCAGTTTCCATGTGTTTGCTGTTTTTCCATGGATCATCCTATTGTTGATTTCTAATTTGATAGCATTGTTATCTGAGAAGATGCTTTGCAGTATTTCAATGTTTTTTAAGTTTATTAAGGCTTGCTTTATGCCCTAACATATGGTCTATCATGGAAAATGTTCCATGTGCACTGGAAAAGAATGTATATTATGCTGTTGTTGGGTGAAGTGGTCTGTAGATGTCTATAAGGTCAAGTTGGTGGATGGTATTGTTTAACTCTTCTGCATCTTTGCTGAGTTTCTTTCCAGTTATTCTATCTTTCATTGAAAGTGGTGTATTAAAGTCTCCCACTATGACTGTGGAGTTATCTATTTGCCTTTTCAACTCCTTTAAAGTCTAATTTATATATTTTGGGGCTCTTTCATTGGGTTCACAGACATTTATTATGGTTATATCTTCTTGTTCAATTGATCCTTTAATCATTATATAATGTCCTTCCTTGTCTTGTGTGGTGTAAACCATGCAGTTATCCCCTTGTTCCGTTCAAATGACCTCTTAGCCTATGCAGAGTTTCCTCATGAAATTTTATCAGAAATTAATATTGCCACTCCTGCTCTTTTTTGGTTGCCATTTGCTTGATATATCTTTTTACAACCTTTGATTTTCAGTCTGTTTTTGTCTTTGTATCTAAGGTGTGTCTCTTGTAGATAGCATATGGATGGGTTATGTTTTCTTATCCAGTCAGCAACTCTCCGTCTCTTGAATGGTGCATTTAATCCATTAACATTCAGTGTAATTGTCAACAAGTATGAATTTGTTGCTGTCATTTTGCTATGTGTTTTTTCATGGTGTTCCTTGTTTCTTTGTTCCATATAATTTTCTGTGCTGTGCTCATGTTTATGAATCATATTATCATTTCCTTTGTTGCTACTGTTTTAGTATTTGCTAAATACTTGAGCTTGCCCTTTTTTTTATAGTGATGTGAAGGTTTATCATTTTTCTTTGACGTTACCCTGTGATTTATAATTTTCTCCCTGAGTTTAGAACAGTCCATTCTATCTTGCAACTCTCTTGACTTCTTCACCATTTAGAAGTTCTGTAACTACACTATTTTTCCACTCTTTCAGTCTGTAGTTGTCCTCATTTGCCAATTGTTGTCTCTGGTTCCCTGTTTACAATCTTGTAAGCATATTTTACTTTGGATACTTATGTAGCTGGGTTGGATTCTGGGTTATATCATCTTGTGTATTAATGGTCAGTGTTGTTTGCTAGTATTGGTTCTCTGTTCAAGGGACTCCCTTTAGTATCTTTTGTAAGGTTAGTCTGGTTTTAACAAAGTCCCTTAATTTCTGCTTATCTAGAAATCTCCTAATTTCACCATCATATTTGAGAAACAATTTTGTCAGGTACATAATTCTTGGTTGGAAATTTTTCTCTTTCAAGGTTTTATATATACCATCCCATTGCCTTCTTGCTTGCATGGTTTCTGCTGAGAAATCAGAACTTATTCTTATTGGTTGTCCATTGTAAGTAACTTCATTTTTCACATGCTGCTTTCAAGATTCTTGCTTTGTCTTTGGTTTTGATGAGTTTGATGATGATATGTCTTGGTCATTTTCTTTTGGGGTCTATCCTATTTGGAACTCATTGGACTTTCTGAATAGATATATTTTCATCTTTCATCATATCAGGGAAGTTCTCTTCCAACAAATCTTGGACAATTTTCTCAGTGGTTTTATTTTTCTCTTCCTGTTCTGTAATTCTGATTACATGTAGGTTATTCCTTTTGATGGTATCCCACAAGAACCTTGGCTTTCATCATCTGGTTTTGATCTTTTTTCTTATTGTTCCCTTTCCAAAGAAGTATTGAGGCATTTGTCTTAAATCTCATTAATTCTGTCTTCAATTGATTCAATTCTACTCCTTTGCCCTTTCAATGTGTTATCTGTTTCTGACCATTTAGTATTAATCTTCTGGATTTCTATCTGTAGATTTTGTATCATTTCTGATTTTGCATTTATTTTGTCCTTTTGTTCCTGTATTATCTTCCAAAATTGTTCTAGGGTTTTGTCAGTGTTTTCCTCAATTTTGTCAATGTTTTCCTTGATCTGTCTCTCAATCCTTTAAATATACTAAATATTATTATTTTGAATTCCTTATCAGAGAGTTCCAATGCTGCTTCCTCCCCAAGGATGTGTTCTAGGTCTGTATCCTACTCTCTTGTTTCTACCACTTGATCTTGCTTCTTTGTGTGGATTGTGATGGTCTGTTGTCTCTGAGACATTGTGATGTTGTTGTATTTAGATCTCTGTTAACTGTTTATGAAGAGCAGTTAAGGGTGAGTAAGGCACTTCTTGGTGGTCATTTATCATTGGCCAGTTGTGGAGAAGGAAGCAGTAGCTCATACTCAGTAAGTGGAGCTGCAGGAGGTGCAGATGTAGTTGTGTTGTATGGGCATTGTTGCTGTCTCCCACTAAGTTAGACAAAAACAACAATAGAATAAACATCAAAAAAGTAAAAGCAAGTGGACAAATAACCAAAAAAAGAAAAATTCACACTATCTGGGCAGAGGGCAATAAGAGAAATAAAGGTAGAGTAGGAAAATAATGAAGAAAAAAATGTGAAAAATGCAAAAAGAAAAACAATGAATGGGGTTAACCATGAGAAAGAAAAAAATGGGAACCAGGAACAGGGAAGAGAGAAAAAGCTGAAAACTAGAACCTGGGAAGGGAAGAATGAATAATAATAATAATAAGGACAACAATAATAATAATTTTAAAACAGACAAAAACAAACAAACTAAAAAAATGGGGGGCGGGAAATCTGGGCTGGGCAGGGCAGGGCACCCAGGCTCTGCCTGAGCACACAGACTAGGATGTAATTCCTGCCAGCCCAGAAGGTGGGTGGGAGTGAGGGATGGCTGTACCTCCATTCACCAAAAGGATGTGGGGTATAAGAGTAACAAGGGCATTATCGCACCTTTCCAGTCATTGGCATCTGGAATATCCTTGTGGTTCCCAGCAAGTAGAGTCTATTTTTAAGTCCCTGGAATCTTGGAGAACACTGTCACTTTAAATATCCAAAATGACTGAATCACTTGTAAACAAATCAAAACTACCCTTATGTCTCTAGGATATACACCTAAAAGTGGGACTGCATGATCATATGGTATTTCTATTTCCAGCTTTTTGGAGAAGCACCATATTGTTTTCCATAGTGGCTGGACCATTTTACAATCCCACTAGCAATTTATGAGAGTTCCAATCTCCCCACAATTTCACCAGACATTTGTCGTTTCAATTACTATGCCTTTGTAGTATGCAACTCATTTCTTTTTATCATTGAATAATATCCCATTCTCTAAATATAGCACTTATTGAAGGACATATTGGTTGCTTCCAATTTGGGTCAATTATGGATAAAGCTATAATCATTCAAGTGCAGATTTTGTGTGGACATAAATTTCCAACCCATTTGGGTAAATATATGGGAGTGTGACTATGGGATCATATGGTTAAGTCTATACTTAGTATTGCAAGAACTTTTCAAACTATCTTCCAAAGTGACTATCATTTTGCATTACCATTAGCAATGAATGAGAATTTCTGTTTTTCTTCATCTTCATTAGAATTTGGTGTTGGCATTTTGGATTTTAGCCATTTTAATAGGCATGTAGAGAAATCTCATTTTTGTTTTGATTTACAATTCTCTAATGATATGTGGCAAATTTTAAAAATAAATTCACTTAAAAATATATAATAGAAGTTTCTACATAAAAAGAATCTTTCTATAATACTATTTGATGTAAACTAATCATTACTAATTTATTCACTTATAATTATATTCATATCTTTTGAAAGTGAGGGCATACCTAATTTTAGAATTAAAATTTGTAAATATATTTTTGTCAGTGTAGTTGCTACCATTACAACACTCAGATTTTCATTGTAATATTATTAATAGATGATAGTATTTCTACATAGTCAACCTAGGGTTAGGTCAACTAATTCACCACTGATTCCAAGACCATTGGCCTCCCAGGGAATAAATATGTATGAGATATTGTTATAGGCATTTTAAGGTATCTGAGTCCTAGTAAAATATGTATTATTTGTGTGGAGCACAGTTTTTCAGTCAAAGATTTACTGTAACTATTGAGTAACTCACTTAACCTTGCAATGACTTAGTTTTCTTGTCTATGAAATGGGCACAGTAATACTCACTACAGACAGTCTCCAGATTATAAACTAGTTCCATTCCTAAATCTGTCTTTAAGTCAAATTTCTCACAATATTGCTTACTGGTCCAGTTGTGAGGATTTTTGTTTTCTTTATTTTGAGGTATAAGCCATACCAAAGGTTGTAATCTTTGACCTTCATTAATAAGTACTTCAAGTCATCTTCACTTTCAGCAAGCAAGGTTGTGTCATCTGTATATCACAGGTTGTTAATGAGTTTTCCTCCAATCCTGATGCCACATTCTTTTTCATATCATCCAGCTTCTCAGATTATTTGTTCAGCATACAAATTGAATAAGTATAGTGAAAGCATAAAGCCCTGACGCACACCCTTCCTGATTTTAAACCATGCAGTTATCCCCTTGTTCTGTTCAAATGACCTCTTAGTCTATGCAGAGTTTCCTCATGATCAAAATTAAGTGTTCTGGAATTCCCATTCCTCACAATGTTATTCATAATTTGATGCCTGGGATATACTTCAAAATAATGCAGGCTCCTAACCTAATATCTATACAAAAATTAATTCAAAATGTATCACAAGGCTAAATGTAAGAGGTAAAACTATAAAACTCTTGGAAGAAAACAAAGGAATAAATCTTTGTGATCCTGGATTAGCCAATTATGTCTTAGATATGACACCAAATGCACCAGCAGTAAAAAATGATAAATTAGACTTAATCAAAACTTAAAACTTTTACCACCTCTATTCAACATTGTACTGAAAGTCCTAGCCAGGACTATAAGGCAAGAAAGGGAAATCAAAAGCATCCAAATTGGTAAGGAAGAAGTCAAACTCTTCTTATTTGCTGATGATATGATCCTATAAATAGAATACCAAAGAGACTAAGCAAAAACAACTACTGGAATTAATTGAGAGATTTAGTATAGTGGGAGGATACAAGATCAACATACAAAAATCAGGTGGGTTCCTCTACACCAGCACAGAGATTGCTGAAAAAGAAATAAGGAAATCAATACCATTTACAATCACAATGCAATGCAATGCACTGCCGTTGAGTCAGATCTGACTCAAAGCGATCCCTCCTTAGGTTTCTGAGGCAGTATCACTACAGAAGTAGATTGCCCAACCTTCCTTCCAAGGAGTGGCTGGTGGGTTTGAACCACCAGCCTTGTGGTTAGCAGTC